ACCTGTGCTTGAATAGCGGTTTATTTACCAGTTTTTGGAAGCGTTCAGGCGTATTGACAATTTCAAAATCACCATGCTTTCTGACTTACATTCTCCATGGTCTTGCCGTATACACTGTTATTCATTAGCTTAAACAAATCTTTTTCAAAATCATTTTTGGCATTCTTTCTCTTTTCAGTGTTGAATTCAATGAATGGTTTTAGGAAGTTTGCTTGTTTAAAACTTATTGCCCTATGGACTTTTCTAAGACTTAATCCATGCTATAAATAAAACTTCAGTGCTGATATATGTAAAACATACTTCTTTTTACCCATAACATTTAATACTAATTTATTTGCCTTTTCATCACTGGCATCTTTTCCATAATAGTATTTGTGTATATCCTTTTGGACTTGTGAAAGCATATTCTCATTGATACACATGATTTCAGGTGCTAGTGGATAGTCTTTATGTAAATCATGTAGTTCTTTTGGATAATCTAAATCAACTTCCAATATGTATCCTATGTCATCATCATCACAATATTTCATTACTCTCTTTTCATCCATTCTACCGTAATGCCATTTAAAATCATCATAGGGAAATTTCTTACACATTGCTAATCCGTAAAGATTATTAGCATCCAAATAACTTATGTACGATGAAGGTTTAGATTTGTCACAATCTTCATTCATGTATTTATTGTTTGCTTCTACTTTCTTGAAGGAGCACTGTGTCATTCCTCCTCTTAAGCCAATTTCAATCATTTCATACATTTCTTTTATGTGTATTTGTTGTAGTCTAACTCCTGTCAATGATAAAAAGGCATTCCAAGAATAGTTAGGTAAAGTGATAATATGCTGGGTCTAAACCATAATAGTTTAAGCACATATCCCTAAAATTTTCAAAAACATCCGTTAGTAAATATACATCAGTCATCAAATACAAATCATGATACTCACCAAGATTCTTAATGCTAAAATGTTTCCATACAATATTTGCGCTGGCGTAGTCTTTGTCAGTTATGTTTTCTTCATACAATTGACTGTAAAAGTCTTCTTTCTTTGGTAGTTTTGTTTCATCAAATTTATCCCATGAATTCATATAGTCGTATGGATATACACCCTTATCAGTCAGTAAATTCAAATCAGTTTTAGATTTAATGTATGGGTTGGTGCTTGTATATCTGAAACGAGTTTCCCAATCTTTAATCTTTTCGTTTCCCTCATATTTGTTTAATCTAACTAATTTATCCAATGACGCAGTTAAGAAAGCAAAACTATCTTTAAACTGACAGGCACCAAATGAAAAGGTTATGAACTTTTCGCTGTTTTGTGCTATTACCTCTATTCTTTTGTTTTGGTTTAGTTCTATGTTTAGTTCATTTGCTCTGGCAATGATTAAGTGAGCGTCATAGTTTTTAAGATTATGAAAGAAGATAGGGATTTTGAAATATCTAAATGAATAATCCAAATTACATTTTTTTGCGCTGCGCCTCTGTATTTGCCTGTGAAGTGGCAGTGGTCTTGGACTTTTGTATCATCAAGTTGAAATTTCTTATTACATATAGAGCAGTGGGCCGCGTTTCTAAATTCTGTCTTTTGTTCGTAAGTTAATTCATCCATTGGTTTATTAACATTCATTTTTTCAAATATATATTTCTTAATTTCAGTCAGTTTTTCAACAAACTTTTTCATACAATCCTCACCTCTGTATAAGTATGGTTGGCATGTATTATCAATCCTGCTTACGACATTCAACATACAACCGCATGGTTTATGTTCCTGATATGTCCCTTTAATGCCATTGTTAGAATTAGTCGTTAGACACTCAAAATCACCATAGATTACAAAAGGGCAAGTTAATTTGGTATTATGCTTTTCAAATTCTATATAACTACCTTTATCAGGCATTTTTGTTTGTTGTCCTTCCGATGCCATACATCCTTTTTCAAGATGGTTCTTATATGCCTTTTCTGTTTGAAATGGATTTAAGCAATGGTGGCAGTAGTGTTTTTGTTTTGTATTAGCGTTGCTTTGACAGTTAAGTAATCTGCTTTTATTCTTTTTACTAATACATAGTGATAATTATTATCTTCATCATAGATTTTTAGTAAATCAATTTCGTATTTAGCATTTCTGTTTTTAGTGCCTCTATGTAATATAATCTTATTATCATTGGAGCAGTCATCGGGTTCAAAAACATTTATTGAAACTGATTTATTGTTCTCTTCAAATCTGTCAATGTCCCTGTTGCCAGTTGGAAACTTTACACTGTCCCATTTCAAAATATCATCTTTCAGATAATTATAGTGGAACATTTCCTCTGGGTGGTGTTTGCTTATTTTGTCATAGACTACGGATTGAATACAATATTTGAAGCATTTTTGGTCTTTATTTTTAATGTTGATACATGCCTTTTTTAGTCTAATCCAGTCAGGTAATTCAAAATAACTTCCTGCTCTTGTTGGGTCAAATTTGTCATAGTGAATTGTTATGCTTAAAATCTTCTTGAACCTTAAATTAGATGTTGATGCTTCTAAATTTTGTATTTGTAATAGTATTTGCGTAACGCTTCTTTCTAATGCTTGTGTCAATTCTTCTTCATTATGAATAGGATAGTATGTTGATGGTAAAGCATATACGAGTTCCTGACTACCAATTTCATTTCCTCCATCATCATATTCGGGTTTTTCAAATAATCCCTCTGTTCTTATGTTGAGTTTCATGTTTCTATTTGCTCTTAAAAACTCTAATAGTCTTGGTTTTTGGTGAGCAATCATTTCTAAACCTCTTTCACCTTCATAGTGTTTATTTTCTAAAACTATTGAATTAGCATATCTTCTAAATGCTGACTGAATATCCCTGACACGAAATTTGTTTCTTATAGCATGTTTGGTTAGTAATTGTTTTACTTTTCCTTCATTTAATTTATGTTTTGCCTTGTTTAAAGCATAACTCCTGTATTCATTGGTTTTCTTTATTGTTAGTAATTTCTTTGTTAATACATTAGAGATGGGTTTATCTTTATTGTATCTAAATTTCTTGTCATCTATAGTTATTGTTTTTAATTCCTGTCTTCCTCTTTTCGGTATTTCTGCTAAATCATTATTCAATAGATAGTCTATAATATTTTTCATCATATCAAGTTCTATATATTTATTAACTTAATAAGTCTTTAAGTGTTCTTCACTGAATATAAACTTAAAGATGTAATATCTTATAAACATAGGAATATTATGGTGCTATTTAATTATGGTGGATGTAAAAAATGTCAATCAAAGATGAATGACACTAAATTAGTATTAAGCAATATTTTACCAGCAAATGTCTGTGAGAAGATAAGTTCTTACAATGTATATTGTAATAGATGTTGTATAACCAGAGACCTTGAAAAATTCTTTGTTGAAGAGCATAAGGGCAAGGGATATACAAAAAATTCAATTACAATTGAAATTCTTTATGAAGCATCAGCAAAGGTTTCCAGTATGTTTTTATCATAAGATTGCTAAAAAATCATTTGAAAAAGAGGTTGATAAGTTCTTTGAAAATGAGGATTTGATTAGAAGATTTGGAGGTGCTACTGAGATAAAACCATACAAAGCATTTGTTAAAAAGCACCGAGATTTATTTGAAATGATTGACTGGCATTTATTAAGTAAAGATAAAGTAAAAGAAGTGTTCCAAGACTTTGGTGCTAATAAACACTGTGTATGGTATTACTATAACACAAAATATAGAATAAGTCTTTTGATTAGTTTATTCTTTTGGGAATATATCTATGCTATAATAGGTGAAGATAATATTAAATATATTGAATTAGATGATATAGATAAATATTGTGATTATATATTTGAAGATTTACTGCCTGATTGGTATTTTTGACCCATAGATTTCATATTAATTAAATATGAAAATTTATGATAAGATTTATATTTATTTTTCTCAATTATCTTATGTATCGGCTTTACCATTGCTGGGATGTGGGTTTAATACATAAACTCTTTGAGTTTATGCTTAAACCCCATCTCATAGGTATTAGCAATACAATGGGCTTTTGAATGAGGGTAATTACTTATTTTTCTGTTATGATTTGTGGTATAGTCTTCTTTATGGTCTATTGCATTGTTTAGGTTGTTTTGGTTTTCTTTTGTTTTGTTGTTATGATTTATGTTATAGAATGGATGAGGTGATGATGTGATAGGCTGTGATGATTTTATGATAATGGATGAGGTGATGATGTGATAGGCTGTGATGATTTTATGATAATGGATGAGGTGATGATGTGATAGGCTGTGATGATTTTATAATGGATGAGGTAAATGATGGTTGGTAGTGATGAATTTATTGAAAATGAATGAGATTGAGATATGGTTAGTAGTGATGATTTATGACAATGAATGAGAGGATTGATGTATTGACTGTTATGATTTTATGAAATGAATGAGATGAAGATATAGGAGGTTGTTCTGATTTTATGGAATGAATGAGGTAAAGTTGGTTGGTTGTTATGGTTTGTTTATGAATAATTTTTGAGTTGTTATACTGCTATGATATTAGTTTAGAAAACTTCCTTAAGCATACCTTTTTAACATTCTTTTCCCCATGGGAAGCCTTTGGAGCTTCCAAGGGATGGGTCACTGGAGGTGGCTGTATAGAGAGATTTTTTTTGTTGAACATGATTGAAGCATTTGGATTCCATGGCTGGGACTTGGATGTGCTTGGCAAACTTTGCGATCCCAGTTGTCCGTCTGCAGATTTGGCCCTGTTTGTTGGTAAAATTTCTGGGGAAATGATCGAATGGACAGAATCAAACCCAAAGTGCAGTGAAGGATGCTAGGAGGGTTCTGCTTGCACCAAAGTGATGATCCTGTACCAATCATCTTGAAGGCTCATGGGCATTGATGGATTTAAGATCATCGCTGTTTTTTTTTCATATGGTTTGCTGGAAATCCCCTGAGTTCGATGATTTTCCCATTGAAATGTAGGATTTGACCAATCGGTCTCCTGTCCGGTGCCAAGGGCATGGCTACGGGTTCCTTGCTTTGGAGTGACTGGGCAGAACTCAGAGCGTAGACGCCGTAGATGTTGACAAATTTAGGAGAAGGGCCGAGAAGGGTATTGAATTATCTTCTAAAAAGGTCTTTTCCGTTATCATCCTGGAGAAAAAGAGGTCGTCCAGCCAGACCTTCCTTTTTCCCAAAAGCATCTCCGATGCTTGGGTTCTCGTTTAGTTGCACTCGCCGCGGGGGAGCGAGACTGAGTGGTCGACGGAGATGTGTTGGATGGAAGGAAGGAAGGAAAAGGAAGGAAGGAAAAGGAAGGAAAAGGAAGGAAAAGGAAGGAAAAGGAAGGAAAAGGAAGGAAAAGGAAGGAAAAGGAAGGAAAAGGAAGGAAAAGGAAGGAAAAGGAAGGAAAAGGAAGGAGAAGGAAAAGGAAGGAAGGAAAAGGAAGGAAAAGGAAGGAAAAGGAAGGAAAAGGAAGGAAAAGGAAGGAAAAGGAAGGAAAAGGAAGGAAAAGGAAGGAAAAGGAAGGAAGGAAAAAAAAGGAAGGAAAAGGAAGGAAGGAAAAGGAAGGAAGGAAAAGGAAGGAAGGAAAAGGAAGGAAGGAAAAGGAAGGAAGGGAAGGAAGGGAAGGAAAGGAAGGAAGAAGGAAGGAAGGGAAGGAAGGGAAGGAAGAAGGAAGGAAGGGAAGGAAGAAGGAAGGAAGAAGGAAGGAAGAAGGAAGGAAGAAGGAAGGAAGGGAAGGAAGGGAAGGAAGGGAAGGAAGAAGGAAGGAAGAAGGAAGGAAGGGAAGGAAGGGAAGGAAGGGAAGGAAGGGAAGGAAGGGAAGGAAGGGAAAATAGCTTGGGGAAACTTCGCTGGGACGGAGCGAAGGAAGGGAAGGAA